TGATACTAAAAGCCCCAAACAGCGGGTTATTTTTAGGAAATATATTTAAACTTCATAACAAAAACCATGTTCCCGTTCCCGGCAGTTGGCTTGGATGAGTTGTGTCTGTGTTCAAAGAGCTTGGAGGGCATGGAGAGGACAAACCGCCCCGGCTTTGTCCAGCCTGGCTGAGGAGGTCACCATGGCCCTGATGGTACCGCTCCATCGCTCATGCTCCCAAATTCTTCCATTGCTTTTCATCCTGTGACAGGCTCTGGAGTTTGCATCGGTGGCCCGAAGGTGTTGGCCACCTCCTCACGGGCGCGTTGCCACGTGTTGGAACAGACGCTTTCGTCGGGCTCTAAGCATCGAGTGAGAGACACGTTGTATGAGTGAGGTGGGTTTTAGATGATTCTTTTGGAAAAATCCTGCAGGATTGTGCTCGGCTGCATAGTCTCCAGTGCCTGTGGGGAGCAGCGTGGCAGGATGCTACCAGCCTCAGTTTCCTCATCTCTCTTTCTTCAGTGCACCTCAGCTAGAGTTTTCTTGGCTTTTCCACAGATACACATTAATTTACTAGTAAATCCTATGTTTCCTTCTTTTTTTTTTAAAAAAAAAAAAAAATCCATTCTTTTTTCCTATAGGAAACATTTTCCACAGCTACCTCTGGCTGCACAGAGCTACCATGACATTTGTTCCTCTGTCCTTGAAACGTCTCTAAATCCCATGTCATTTGTAGCACTTGTTGGAAGAAAATCAACACTCTGTGTCCTTTTCTGACTACAGGTAGATGGGGGATGTTTTATGTGGATTTGCTGTATGACACCTGTTTAATAGGAAGGCTGTTGGCTGTGCCAGCAAACGCTGTCTTTCCTGGGAAATCCACTTCTGGATGGGCAAGGGAGGAAAGGAGAAAGCAAAAAGCTTTATCCTTTTCTCCAAGCACTTATGGAAAAATAATTCTGTGTGGAAGAAAAGTACATGTTGAGCTGTGTTTGTCTGCAGGAGGAGCTGACCATACAATGAAGCTGGCAAGTTTGTTGAAATTATTTGTGGATAATGTAAATATAGTTCTTGTGAGTAATGGCTGGGTTTCCTTGTCTCTTTCTGCTTCCTGAGAAAATGTTTTGCTGAAAACATATTGTATTAGGAATTTTTTTTTGTGTCCACCCCTCCTGTTGTCCCCCCCCGCTCCCCCGCCGATTGTCAGATGATGGTGATAGGAGTGAAGCTGAGCCTGTGTTTGTATGGCAGATCCGTTCCTTCACCTCTCAGACCTCTGAAGGCTTGCACTCAAATCAAGGTCTGATCCAAAACTGGAAAAGGAATGCTTTTTGGATGCCTTATACAACAACACGTAATCTCAGCTCGGTGTGTTTTCAGAAACACGGAGAACCTGCTGAAGTCTGGTGAGTCCTTCGTTGTTCTTCAGCCTCATGGTGAATGGACTCTGCTGTGACAGTCATTACAGGTGAACCCTAAACCAAAACACAAGCTGCTTCCAAAGCACAGAGTTCTGACAAGCAAAGCTACGTCCAAACTTTGATAATTTTCCAGGATGTTTTGGTTTTTGCACTCTTTAACACTGTCAGTTCCTACGTCTGGTGTTCTGCAATACAAATGCTAGCCCACCTCTGGCTTCATTCAGACTGACAAAGTCCCTGCTTGTCTTTTTTGTTTTAGACCTGAAACACACATCTCCAGTGAATTTTAGGTCCCAGTGTTGTTTCGTTTTCTATTATACTCCAGTTTTCAGTCACAGCAGTCTTCAAGTCTGGCTCCAACATATGTGAAATGTATTAGCAAAGTTCTGCCTTAACTTTTCTGTACGTGGGAAAATGCTGTTCTTTCTAGGTCTTTCTGAATATCTCTGTTCCTTCCCCCACCCTTTCCTGCATTATCACAGCTTGGCTATGGGTCCTTCAGGAGTTATGGTCATTTCTTAGTGTCTTCGCAATACAAGAAGTATCATGCCAAATGGAGCGTAGACAAAATTCTTGGAAAATCAGTGCCTGGAGCTACCTGTGGAACAGCAAATTACTTTTCCATAACTGTCTTCACAAAAGAAAACCAAATGTCCCTCTACAAGCCTTCCTGTCTTTTACTGTTTTCTAAATTGAGTAGCTTTTGCTGTGGATTTGTATTGATTTACTGCATTAATACTGGTCCTGTGATTGTCACGTCCTGCGCCAGAACAGAACGTGTCCGCCTGGTTGCAAAGAGATGCCTCTGATAAAGAACAAATTCAACTAGATCATTGACAGAGATGCAGATTGTAGTATTTCCTTTTTCCTCATGGGCATAAAATTCAGATTCACTCAGTGCAAATGGCCATACTTGTCCATTCAGATTTTACTCATGCTGAGGTTTCTGCAGAAGAGTAACAGAGGGAAGAGTACAGAGGACTAACCATCTTTTCAGCAGATTTTTTGTTTCTTCCTCTTAGTAATGTTTTAATATATTTCATGGTAAATAAGATCCTCCCGTATTGTGACTAGTTGCTGTCAACATTCCTCACACATGGTAAACTGAGGCACAACCTACGGAAAAGCTGACCCTGTGAATCACTGCCAATAAAAGACAGTAGACCCAGATCCTCCACAGTCCCTTCCGATCATCCTTAAGAGAGCTGCCTACGAAACGAGAATCACTTCGTTAATTTAGTAAATAATCTGAATGGAGAGGGATGATGGGCTCTTACACGTATTCCCAGCAGATGCAGGGGGCTTGTTTAATGCAAAGGGTGGTGCATTAAAGGGTTTGATGCAAAGGGTGGAGGCATCCTGAGGAGTATTAACATCACTTGTCTTTAAAGCAGGAGCTCCCAGTCCTAAGGGACTGTTGGATGTGATTGTGCTGTTTACTATGTTGCTTGAAAATCTCGACAGAGCAATAAAACGTGAGTCTTTCAGAACACTTCCCTTTATTGCATTTTGTAAACCAGCCTGAAAACAAAGCATCTTTCCTCTTAATTTCTTGCTGCGTTCCCTACTTGTGGGATGTTAAGGAACATAAAGGACACAACTAACACAGGGATGTTCAACAGATGGACAAGTAGGTAACTTCATCCTGGTGAACTAACTAGCCGAGTGTTTGTACGAAGGTGACGTTATGCTGGGTAAATCCATGGGACCCTTCCCTTCATTATAAAAATTCTATCCTCTACCTGATGGGCTGGGTGTGTGCACCAGTTCTGCTGAGCAAGGTGTCAGAGCAATTTTGCTATGTGCAGGTAATAACCAGTTGACCCATGTGATGTAAAACCTCCAGACGCCTGTTGACATCAGAAACATCCCAATGTACTGCAAATCCCTCCCTTTCCCCCACCCCTCCTCAAAAATGCAGACCCAACCCTAAATGTTGTGAAGAAAATAGGTAAAAAAAGTCACGTTCCTTTTCTGAATGAGGGCTGTGTGGATTCCCCTTCAGCAAGGTCAAAAGAAATAAAAACTCAAGGCAATGAAAATACAGGTCTCTGTTCAACTTTAATATTTAATTTATGTTTGCTTCTCAAATGTTTTTCAGTTAGCTAAAAATACAGTTAAAGTCTTAATCATTCCTCTAAACATAAAAAGGTGAATTTGCTTTCCTACATGGGTTTTTTTAAGCTTATATTATTGATTGTTACATATGAAAATAATTTTTCCCCCTGCTTTTTCTCCTTTGGTGTACGGTGGTTAGTCCCACTGTCAAGATTTTCCTGAAAATGACCATAGAGCTGTAGCATAAAGTCACCTCTGCAAACATTGTCCTAACGAAAAAAATACAAGTCTGCTAATACAAAATCCTATTTTGGTATGGTCAAAATCTAAAATTCTAAGAAGCTGTAACATATTATATGGCAATAGCCAAAGAAAACAGTTATGTCTGTCTTCAGAGAGAGAACTGGAATAATGTAAGGAAATCCCATTCCCCCATATATTGAGCTTTTCTGTAAGTAAGGAGGTAAGATCTGAAGAAATCAGTAAAAATCACAATCTTCTTGGAAAGACTATGAATCTTAAACATATGTGAATATTTTACAGGAATGAAAAAACAAAAAAAAAAGAAAGGAAAAATTAATAGGGAAATGTTCACGTTGAAACGTTCAAACTGAAATTTAAAAGCTTCCAAAATGTGATACTAAGAAGAGCCATTTCTTGAGCTGTTCCATTTTATTAGTCAAATGAAAACTGTAAAAGATCATCAAAGTCTCATGCTTCAAATACAGCCCCCCAAAGAGAGGACATGTCCACAGATGTGCAGTTGGTATATGTGGTGGAGTTTCCTTTTTTCGTTTTGGCACATCATACCTGGCATGGGCATCCCAGAGAAGGCTGGATAAATAGGCTTAATAGAGAAAGCCAAAATCCAGAATCAGCAGATTAGATTAAAGGAATCCAGTATCCTTAACTACAAATTAGCTTTAGATATTCTGAAGGAAGAAGGGGGGAAAATTGTGTTAGTATAGATGAAATTTGTCACATATCCTTCACTAGATTGGATGACCAAGGTGTTGCTCAATTGTGAGTGAGCATTTTTCTTTGCTCTGTATTGTACCTTCATGTAGGACAAGGGAGGGATGGTACGAATTACTCCATGTGTTACAGTCTTCCTGATTTGCAGTGTTGAATGTAAACATACTCCAAACAAAACCCTTCATAGGCACTTGAAGGTCCTCTGTATGGCTTGTAAAGTGTCCTTCCACTGTTGTGTTAAAACTACAGGCTTGTAGATAATCCATCCTAATGTTTTCTTTAAGTGGTGGTTTGGTTTTTTTTAAAAAAAAAATTGAATCTTCATAGCTCTTTCTCACAGTTCCTTTGAATTGTTGTGATTTAGTGCAATGGGCTTTATTTTATACAAGAGCAGTAACAGAAGTCCTTGGTTAGTGTCTGGAGGAGGAAAATGTTAAATTCTGTATTCAGATACCAATGGTGAGTTGGTAGTTAGAGAGAATACTTGATACAAAAAGCCAATAACAACAACAAAAAAAAACCACTCTCCAAAAAGCCCAGAGCCTTGAATGACGTGAGAAGTGTTCATTGGAAAAGAGAACTCAGGATGTACGTAAGGATCGGGACCAACGTTAAAACCTTAGCAGTAGGCAGGAGGATGCTGGCACTGGACCAGTACACCTTTCGTTCATTCAGAAGCTGAACAGGCCGGAAATTTTCAACCATGTGCGTTGAGTTCTTCCCATCAAAGTGAACTGTTGAGAACTGAGAAATCTGCAGACATTGAAGAAAGAATAGATCGTTAAATTCTTTTCCCCCAGAACACTGGAAATTGCGATGACATAAATTTGCAGTGCCTTGCTCTGTGGGGTTGTTTTGAACTATATGGATGCATTAAACCTTGCAGGAAACAACGTGATGGAGGCTTCTGCCAGAGGTCACCAACAGATGACTTCTTTTAGCCTTGGAGATCATGGAGACTTCCTTTCTGTGTGAGCCAAATGCTTTCTCCAGCTTAAGGACCTGGTTATACCAGTCCTCTTGACGCACACCATCCTGCCTTTGTCCATCACGTCACAGTGACACAAAGTAAGCAGACTAGGATTTCTTTTTTCACTTCGAATTTCTAAGTATTTCAGCAAGAAGTTGGCCCAGAGCAAGCAGAAGCCCACTTTTGTGTGCTGTGCTGACTCTGTGGCTGAGCGTTGCCCTGTGACTGCGTGATTACGAGTACCCTGCAGGTGAGGAACTAAATTACGGACGCTGGCTCTCGGCCAGGCTGTGCGGGCGAGTAATCTTGCTGAGAGTCCGCTCCGGGACATCTGGATGTTTTCATGGTGTGCTCTCCCAGCTGAACAACCTGCATTTTAGAGGCAGCCAGGAGTCATTCTGCTGTTCCCCTCTGTAGGACAAAAATGGGTTCCTTAAAGCTGATGCTGATAGACCCAAAGTTGGGATTTTGAAGTATTCCGTTCCGGTATCCTGATAGGTGTGACAATAGGAGAAAAGCAGTGAACTCGGGAGGTGAGCAGATGACTACAAGCGCTGCTGACAAAGCACTGAGCTAGGTGTTCACCTGTGGGCTTTTCTGGCTTTCTTTTCACCTTGTCATTTCCCCTTCCTTCCCCTTCCCTGCCATTTTTGAGACATGATTTAATAGCATCAAGAACCCGGCACTAGGGGCCGTGTTCGGGCTAACGCCAAGTGTGTGCGTGCTGCAGGAGCCCCTGCCAGCGTGCCGAATCGTGTGGGTCAGCAGGCAGCTGCAGATGACCCCAAGCAGACCTTCCAGGGTATCCCCCTGCGACTTACCTGGAAAACGCTGAGCTCAATTGGCTTCTCAAACACTGTCCAGGTGACACCCTCGTAGCAGTCGGGAGTGGTGAGGGAGCCTTCGTACCGATAGTACTTTCCAAGGTCTTCCTCAGGGGGGAGGAGGGAACTCAGTGGCACAGGCTCCATCTGTGCTGTCTGCCCTAGACACACCGTGGGGAAATCCTGCTCGTTAACACGCGTGGCTGCAGGTGTTGCTCACGCTTGTCCCCCAACGCGGTGGTTGTGTGAAGCCCTGTCCCCGTGTCCCAGCGCGCCGCGCTGCTGGGGAAATCCCTGACTGGAGCTGCAAGGTCCCACCAAGCACATCACCCACACCCCTTCTGTTAACACTCTGCAGGTTTTTCTTCTCACTTTGCTTCCTCCTGCAGAAGCAGGAATACTCCTTCAGCTTCTGGAGAGCTTCTTCACTGCGGATACGGAGAACTAGAATTCCTCCCACCTGCGATGCTCTGAGCGCTTGGCAAACTAACCTTTATCTTTTGGCTTTGACTCTCAAGTAACAATCTCTGCTGTCATCAGGACAACATTGGACCATGAACTACCTGGTAGTGTATGTGTTCAAAATAAAAGCGTGTTGCGTTTTGACTTACCTTTGTATCTAACATTCTTCAATTCATCTATTAGAGTTCCATAGTTTTTATTTTCTTCTTCAACCTGAAATGGAAATATTTTGATTCCAAATCATGCATTTCTCAACAACTGGTTGCTTTAAATTAATTGTAAATAAACCAGAAAAGAACCAGAAGGCTGAAAGATATCAGCAAGCAGGATATAGAAAAGGGTAAAGGAACTAAGTGCTGGCACTGAATGCCTGCAGAAGAGAGGGGGGCTTAGGTCTTGGACTGCCATAACATTAACACAAAATTTGAGATGGGCAATTAAAAATTTGGCTACCTACCTTTATAAAGAATGCTAACACAGCCACACCATCTGCATTTTTCTTTGCTTCTGTTAGATCCGAAACATCTTCTCTTATGTGGACAATGTGAAGCTGTAACACAATGGTCAAGGTCAATTAGTTGGTCGTGTTCCTCTACAGGTCATCGTGGCGAGTGCAGCCTGGCTGCTTCTCCTGGGTGCTCCTGGGCTGGGCACAGGCAGCTCGAGGCCCTTGACCTGAGGCAGGAACTTTGCAATAAGTGGACTATGATTTGAAACTTCGTTCATCAGCAGTGGTATCACTTCATACACCTCCCCAGAAGGGGAAGTGCTCTCTGGAGTGCTGCAGCCCTCAATTTTCAGCCTGTGCAGTGGAACAGGCAGATTTTTACATCATGGTTTGAAAGGGGGGTGGTTTCCTTCCACCAATCTACACGTATCAGCGCTGACAACTTGTCCTGAAGAGAATTTTTTTTTTTTGATTGAATAGGTCAATTCCTGGTTGCAGTCCCAGAAACTAATACATAATCTGAACAAGCAATGTGAGGGTATAACCAGAGTGTGTAGATTTTGGAATATTTCTCCTCCCAAAGGCTATATGATCTTTGAGGTCCCTTCCAACCCCAACCATTCTATGATTCTAAATAACTCTAGAGTTGGTTGTCCTGTGCCTGTGCTATACAAAACCAGTGTGTTTTCCTGCATGTTCTGGTTAGTGAGCAGAGCGTCCTCGGTTCTTTATTTCCTCTGTTGGGTTTTCGTAGAACTAGCCAATCGTTTTTGTGCAACAGTATCTTAAAAAGCTGGAATTCTTGAGTAAAAGGCATAATCCACAAAGAGTCTCACCTACCTCCATGGCTTGTTTTTCTCCATCTATGCTGTGCTCTGACCCGGGAAGGTACAGCGGCACGCCTTCGACTCCCCAGTGCAAATGAAATTCTACTGCCTTGTATTTTCTTTTCAGACCTCCACCTCCAACTTTAGGGGATGTACTTAATGTTACTTTAACTAAAGAAAACAAGCAAGTCATTTAAAAAAAAAAAAAACAAAACCATAAAACAAACAACAAATCAGATCATACATTAATAGTATGTGAGAATAGAGATGCATACTCTTGAGGTTCACGTTTATCCTGAAGTTCTGGCTTGGTTTTTCATACTGAGTGTTCCAGAAGCTCGACTCTGCAGAAGCTGAACTCTTACAAAATGCTAGCTGAGGTTAATTTGGGATGAAAGGGAGAAATATCATGGCCCGCTTCCCAGTAATATGCAACATTTGGGCATCCCTCAACGGCACAGCACTTGGAGCTTCTGTTGCCCCTTCTACCTGGGATTTGCTCTGTGAATCTGAATGACTGTGGAGAGCCTCGCTTCCTGGAGAGCCGAGCTCCCCGTTACCTCAGTTGGGTAAATAATAAACAAAATGAATTTGATGATACTTGTTTCCTTTTGTAAAATGGAGGAAAAGGACAGAGCACTACTCTGGATTGTTCTGGGGTAAGGGTTTTATAAACTTTTATGGGATCCATTGATACATCCTTTGGAGTTTCAGCAGTTAATCGCATTTTGAAGAAAACAGGGTAATAGACTGTCTTTGCTTGATTGCACTGAGGGGATCTGCAGGGGTTTGTTCACTGCCATTGTAACCCTGGGAGTCAGAGCTACTTACACCTTTCAAAAACCCCTGTATTCTTTCATTTTTTTGTCCAGAAGAGCACCCTATAGCAAAGTGTTCATAAAAGTAAACTTGATCACAGTTTATTTTGATTTTAAGCATCGTTTTTTATCTCCTGTTGTCTGCACTGTAACATTTGATTTAGGCAAGGTTTAAAGTACTGTGTTTTAATTCAGGGTAATGTTGTGACTTAAGCCTAAGCATCTAAGTCATTATATCTGTTTAACGGGACGCTTGATCTGTTGTTAACAGCAAACCAAAATTTTCTTAGGAGATATTTTTCTAGCTGTGAATCACCATCATTTCCTGCGCTTGAGACATTTGGGATATATTTTTAAAATTTACTTATTAGGACCTCTACATTAAGCACAGTACTTTTCTTTCCATAGGAAAGATTCTTTTGACCTGAATTGAAGCCCCAGAGATTTAATTCCTGTTCTGAATTCCAAATGAACTGGAAGCTTGAGTGAGTCATTTAGTTACTTTGCTTTTTTATCTGTAAATGGATGAGTAACATACCTTCGTTGGCTTTGTTTATTTAGATTGTAGGACCTTTGAGACACTGACCTTTGTTATCTGCACATCATCGAACATAATGATAGTCTAATCTCATGTAGAGCTTCTAATTGCAGCTATAATTTAAGCAATAACAGTTCCAGTGTTGTATGAGTTGTAGCCCAGGAATTGTTTGCACTTGAAAGAAATTTTAAAAGCCCAGATTGAAAACCTAATCCTTTTGCGTGGCTGGGAAAGATGAGAGTTCTGACCACTCTTTACGAATATTTCTTTTTGTGTTAAAGATATTTTTCTACCCAGCAACTGTAATAAGGACGTTCTAGAATATCATTCTGTAATGGGAAAATCATTAACCTGTATACTAGTGAAAAGCCAAAACATCCATCAAAATACTGATGTTTTAAACTAGAACCTCTGGCTATAAAAATCTACGCAGCTGTCTACCTTCCTACCTTTCCATTTTGAATAATTTGCTACTTGCAACTTTCCATTTTAGGGATTTGGCAGTGAAAACAATCCATTTAAGAGTTTAAGAACCCATAGTGATCATTTAAAAAGAACAACAGATTTATTTTGAAAGTTTAAGTCATTTAGCATAGTATTGTTGAAGCATCATCATTATTATTGCTTTCAGTGAAGAAAAGTGGAGGAAGTGAAACAGTCCTAAATTACCACTCACTGATTCACTGTTTACTCATTTGCTGTTCACTGATTCACTGTTTACTGAATCAGCTGATCCAACAAGCTCACGAGATTACTTCCGTGTGCAGAGAAAATAGTTGAAATCTGAGAACATTTCAGATGGTTATTTAAAGAACTGGTAAGACACACACACACTGCGAGCCATTGGTTGAACGACTTTCCCAGATTATGATGTTCTTCTGCAGAATTCTTCTTTGTGCAAAAGCAAGGGTGAGAAAGGGCAAGCCCAGGAATGAAGGGAACAGGAGCATTCAGCAGAACCTGTAGACCTCTGTCAAAACTCTTGTCCTAAACCCCCAGTCCTAGAAGTTGTCTGACTTAGAGGTTCCCTAAACATCTCAAGTTCTGTTTCTGCACATGCATAGAACTTATTTCTGCTGAGATGCTCAAGGACCATGTCCAGAATCCAAAAGCTAGGTAATTCCCACAAAGTTGCCAGAAAGCCTTGGTTCAGAAGGTGCTCTGAAAGTTTCGCTTCTGAAATATAAAGGTGCTATCTTATTTTTGCTTCCTTGCTTTTAAGTAGCGGTGGGGATATCTAACGCTTTGCCCAGGACATGGAAGAAGTGAATGGATGGTTCCAAGCAAAAGCACGAATAAATCACATAATAACATAATTGGCAGAACTTGCCTGTATGGCCATTATTTTCTATATTCCATTTTGAAGACCCCTTCGAATCATATCCTTCAAAATTCAGTGGCTTAAGACTCTTGTCATAAACGACGTTTTTGGTGACAATATTGATAGGTGACTGTTTGTTTCCTTTGCAGGTAGTGTATGTTTTATACCATTCTCGAGGATCTATTTTAAGGATGGAAAAAAGCATGTCATTTTTTGTAGTTTTAAAAATACTGATATGCATCAAAAACTTTCTGTTCAGCTTAACAGGAAAATATGCACATGCAAATGGCTGTAAAATAGAACGTGAACTACCACTGAGGTTGGCTGAACTGGAGAAACCTGGAAACTGTAGCAAAACCAAAAAAAAAATGCGGTGGTGGTGGTGCTGGGAGTGAAATGCTGTTTCCTGCACAGGCAGTTCCAGGGAGGGCTGGGCAGGACACAGGGATGAGCTGGTGGTGGACACTGCTGGTAAAACAAAAGCTGCAGTTGTAGGTAGAACATTTCGATTTTTCATAACTATCCTCAAGAGTTACATAGCTACCTATACCCAGCTTGCTGTGGAGATTACCTCTGGAGCGTATTTAGAGTAATTTTTATATTTATAGCATTATTCTTGGTGGAAATAAAATAAATAGTTAGCACAGACACTGGTAACACTGTCCTGTTTAACACTGACATTTACATATAACACGATCGTGCAGCATTAAATGCTGAGTTGCCTGAATTTTTGCATTATTTCTGTCAAGAGGGTCTTTGCAACACAGAATGTGATTGGAAAAATAAGTTTTTTAGCAGTACCTGCACAGTGTGGCTCTTCATACTTCTGTGACTGATAGCACCAGTGGCTTCCAACTAAAAAAGAATAAAATAAAACCATCAGATATTCAAAATCAGGTGAAAGAAAAGCTGTACAAATTGTCCACCCAAAAAGCAGATAGGAAATGAATCTGCAATTTGTCATCCTTAGAGAGTGATAACTGAGCACACAGTTTTGACAACTTGGTTTTGTCTGCCCAATTTTATTAGAATGTTTCATTTCTTAAATATATCGACAACGATGGCTGGTGAGAGGTGAGTGCTTCAGCTGTAAAGAAATCTTTAGCTGCTAAAGATCTCCATCCAGCAAGTCTAGCTGGGTTCTAATATCAAATAATTCAGGAGAGAGCATAAAACCCCTGCTGTAGGCAGCTCTGGCCCCTCTCTAGATCTCCTGTTATTTAATGAATCTGTTTACACCTGTTAATATTCCCTCCAAAAACTGTGATAGCAGGAAATATTAAAGCTCTGGATGGGTTGCAGTTCTAAGTAATTTGGTTTTGAAACCTTGGCTTCAGCAACTTCTTGAGGCAAAAGTTCCACACCTGAATATACGTAGTGTTAAAACAAATTTCCTTTTGTCAGTTCTGTCCTTGCCATCCTTTCACATACTTGTACATTCACTTATGCAACATGACTTATCTCATGCCGTTCCAGGAACTATTTTAAAGATTACTTGGTGCAATAAGGAATTTTAAGAAATGAAGAGTCTAATTTCCTGAAAGACAAGAAGAGGTATTACTCTAACTCAGCTGTGATCCCACACAAAGGGTTGCAAAATTTTTCAATAGAACGTCTTAACCTAACCTGACTTTTTCATGGTCAGAAGAAATATGAAATACAGAGGAAAAGAGCTGATTTAACTTAAGCATGTGTTGATCTAGTCAGGAAAGTACAGACTGTCTTGTTTATGGCAGCGTGCTTCAGTGGCTATAAAGTTTAAATGAATCTTAGCAGGAATAGTTCTCTTTCACTATTTAACTTTAATCGATAACAATTCAAAACCTCTTATAATCATGATTAATACTATAGTTTCCATTCACTTATGATTAGTAAATTACAGACGTTTTAGGAAATGGCTGATCCATTTTTAGGGATTATTATGGAGGAGCCCTGTCATTAGATTGCTAATTACCATAATTTGTGGTCTTTTATAGCAGATCTGCTAGTAGGCTCATAACTGCTTTTAACACCTTTGTCTTCATATCAGTAGCGTAGCAATACCATCCATCTATTAAGTACTCAGAAGTTATAAATAGAACCTCAATGTAAAATGTGGCTAGCTGTACCAGCAGAGAGAATCGGATGAGCTCGTGGCAATTAATGTGATCTTGAGAAAATAATACTGTTTTAGTTCATCTCTCAGGAAAATTAAATTTATGCTGGAAAAAATAATGTTGACTCACTTCCTAGTTTAGCAAACGTTTAATAACATTGAGAGAAAAGTAAACAACATTGCTACATTTGCATTGTAAGAAAGGTAGTGATTTCTAGAGAGAAGTTGTGGATGCCCCATCCCTGGAGGTGTTCAAGGCCAGGTTGGATGAGGCTTTGGGCAACCTGGTGTAGTGGAGAATTTCCCTGCCCATGGCAGGGGGGTTGGAACTAGATGATCTTTGAGGTCCCTTCCAACCCAAACCATTCTATGATTCTACATTGCTGTTCTGTTAATATTTTATAATTATTAAAAAATTGATTTCGACAAGGTTTTATTTTTTGACACACTTTTAACATTCACAAAACCTAGCTTTAGGACTTTTCATTTCTAAAATTGATTGCTGCATTTTTTCAGGCTTGTGTACACAAGACAGTTTCCAGACCTGAGGAACGATTTCTCATCTCTGCTGGGAAGCAGCAGAACCAGAAGTTCCAAGCACAGAACGTCACCAAGTGCCTTAACTGATACTTAAACCAATAAATGTCTGGCAAATACCAGGTAAGCCAGTCCTCACGGTGCTTGGTTGTATTTCACATGTGTTAATGTTTGCATGAATGAATAACTGCAGACATACTCTTGGCAACTGCTCCAGCTCAGTGGTCAGTTTGTGCTTTACCAGCTGCCCCACCAGCACCCTGGGGTTGGGAGTGATCCTCCTTTGCAAGTTGTGAACCTTCAGGAGAAAAAATGTTGCACTGCAGGAATAACCTGGACACAAGTGGTTAAAGGTGATAGCACCTACGCAGCACAAGATAATCACCAGCAAAGATTTGCTCTCAAACCCGTTGGGATATGAGCTAAAGCAGAGAGGAAAGTTGTCAGGTGAGAAATCAAGGTCGGCTGAAGTATTCTGGTCTGTTTACTGTAAAGTCCTGGGACAAGGTTTACTGTTCTGGGTTTGTATCGTGCCTTGCACAATGGGAGCACCATCGTGACTTAGACATCAGAGCACTACTGTCATGCAGAGCAAATTTTACAGTCAATGTGATTCAAAATTAGAAGTAAGTGCACCAAGTTCATAGTTCTTTGGGTGCTGGGCTGTGGAGCTTCTAGACCACAGAAAATCAGGGACAACCACAGGAAATACTGAAGGAAGTTAAATATCACCGAATCATATTGTCAGAGGTCCTGATACAGTGTTTCTGTACCAGAGGAATGAAATGGAAGTGGGTTATGGAGCCTTTCGTTGCTGAGCCTGAGTCCGAGTCCGACCTTTCTGGCTTTTTCCCAGCTGACAGCATCTCTCAAATAAGCTGGTAGCTTTCCATCACGTCTTAGTAGATCGACACACGAGCACACTGAAAGTCTTTCAGTCTGCACATCAAGATGATGAGGAGAAAAAGTTTAACAAATTAAAATAATAAATAAAAAATCCAGCCCTCGGGTGGCTACTGCTGCCTTACATCCAGCACTCAGGAGTATTCTTCCCATCTTCTGTCAAATGCGACGTACAACAAATAATTAGCATCTAATTTTGCAAGTTTTCTGCAAAATTACTAATGTCTACGAACTAACAATTAGTGTTTTTCTATCAAATACTTACCACAGTTGTGGTTTAGGAAGTTGGATGGTATCAGTGAAGTAGAACAGGATATAAATTCAGCGATTCATAAGAAAAAGGTCTTTAAAGCTGTTAAACCTTAAACAATGAACTAATTAAATATTTCAGGATGCCTGAACAAACAATGAATTAATGTTTCTTGTGAATTAGATTTTTTTTTTTTTTTTTGGTAGTGGTAACATAACATTAGAGAACAGGATCTTCTATGCAGATACTGCTCAGGAGGAACCAAACTGCTGTACCCTGTGCCCCTTACAAGGAAAATTTGCGTTTGGATTTTATTTGAGTCAGGTGTGATTTCTCCCTACGTGTAGGGACCTTGCATTTACAATGGTCCTTTCTCTTTTTTTGACTTTATTTCTGAAGTAAGAAGGAAAGATCCTTGTCACATCCAGTCAGTTGTCTGTGGTCTTAGGCATGATTATGCCCTAAGGTATGTTGTCTAGCCTAGTTTTAATTGTCTGAGCGGCTCCTGCCACTTCCCTTAGGAGACTTTTCCACAGTCTATTAGCCTTCACTGTCAGGAAATGTTTCCTGTTTAATAGCTTACATTTTCCACTTGCTTATCTGCATCCCATCACTCCTAGAAATATCACTGAACCTAAACAATTCTTTTCCCTCCCTGGTGTTTACAGCATTCAAATAGTTCTTTCATAATCTGTAATTCCTGTTCTTGCTTCATCCATCCTTTGTCCCATCTCTTGACAACTTGCCCTTCACCTTTCTACCATTTCCACTTCAAGATCTTTTGTCTCCCTTTCACTGGGGCCCCTTTCTTACGGGGACTCGGTACATACCAGTAGGTAGTCATCCCTCATCCTGCAGTCCTCTCCCTGACTGCTCTTTCGATCAAACCTCAGCTCCCCCTTTCTCTTTCCCGTTGTTTATTTTATTTTATTGCCTAGAAAAATGCAGCAGAAAGTGGGGGGTTTTGTGTTTTGGGGTTTTGTTGGTTTTGTAGCTGAGGCACTGCAACCATTGCTGTGATATGAGCTGCCCTGGAAGGTTTCGTAGCTTGCTCCAGTATCTTCCTGGTACACGTGAGTTAAGCCATGAGCTTCCACACCTCCCTCAGGAGTAGTATTAGATACCAGCCAGGATTTCCAAAAGCTTGTTGCCTGATTGGCATTAAACAGAGACATTTGCATTGTTGCCACCACTGGAAGTGATGTCATTCGATATACACATACACCTGGACTTACAACTGCTGTAGTAGCAACTATATCTGGCTCTTGCAGTGTATTATGGACTCTTGATTTAAGTGGTGATGCTCCACATCATAGGTGTCACCTTGACTTTACTAGGTTTTCATTTAGAGCAGGGCTGAACTGGGCTGAAGGCCTTCTCTTCCTTTACAAAGTTCAAGACAGTTAAATTTAGGGAGTCTCTCTTGGCAAGTAAGCAGTCCTACTTATCTCTGTTTCTTCCTTGTCAAATTTACAACTGGTTTCCTGACCAAAGCTGTTTCTTGGCACCAGAATAGCTGGAAAACAATACAATTACGTATTGTTTTCATTTCATTGTAAATGTTTTCAATTGTTTTAGCTATCAAGCATAGCTTGGAAACTTGAGGCAAAAAATTCCTTCAGTTGAGAACTCCCTCTTCTGTTCACTTACACAGCTGGACGGAGGACAGTGCTTCTGGCTGGAAGCCAGAGTGTTAGCAGTTTGCCAACATGCTATTGTGTGATGCAGGAAAAAAAACCTTAAGCCCTTTGAACCATGGTCAGATTGCCTGAATTCCATAAAAGTTCCTAAATCTACCTTGTCCCATTTGTTCCCTGCCTACTGCCCTACTTGGACCTGCTGAGCTGCTGCTTGGAAGCCCACGTCTCCTCTGACTCAGTGCCGTGGGACAGGTGGTATTCAGGCTAGCTGAAAATTGCCCTTTTAATTCGTCCATCCACACGAAAGAGTTACTAAAACAGGTTTTGTCTTTCTGGATAAAGTGGTTGGAAATCTATTAATTTTCTATGTTGCTGCTTAGTTAGTTTTATTAACTATATTTCATCTCCCCAAGTGTGGATGACCTTAATGCCACTAACAGCCTGAAGTACCGAGACAGTAAGAATATCCTGCTGGTTTTTGGTTAGAATCCCTTCTCTCTTTCACCGACTGACTCCTTTGTTTATTCCTTTAGATCTCTGGCCACTCTTTCAGCCATGTCCTGGCTGCCAGTGTGTTGTTTTCCAAACCACGCAGCTGCCAGTGCTCCCACCACACTGGTGCTGCTCAGAAAGCCCGGGCTGCCCTGAGTGCCGTAGTTCTCATTACTGCTCTATCCTCCCCTGGATTGAAACCCCCCCTAAAACCTGTTGTAACGGTCAGTTCTGCAGCAGAGTGAGGGCTGGACTTTTGTACCAATGTGGCAAATGCTAGTTTTGCATGCAGTATATTTTTAGCTTTGGTTTGTGTTGGCTCGTTCTATTTTTAGCTCGCTTTGTGAAACTCGTTATCTTTAATACAAAGGGATGAGCAACTTAAAAGCAAGTGGAGACTAAGTCTGTCTCTCTAATTAATGAGATATTGCTGAACATAAACTGAGCATATATGCATAAGCCTATTTATGCGTTCTTAAGTATTGCACATCCTCAGGAAGTCCTGATCAACTGCTTTGACAGGCAAAATCCGCTCCAAATGTTTACTTCCAGATTTGTGTATCTCTAAACATGTAAAAACAAACGTTTGTGATCGTTCCTATCTCTTCTATTCACTTTTATCTGGAAATTTTTGTTTTCCATAATGATATACATCTGCATGTAGATACACTCCAATCTATTATGGGGAGTTAACCTTGAAAATAAACTTTACTGTAGCAGTGAAGCATCACAGATAACCACATTTTATTTGAGCACAGTGTTTATAATTTGCACATGTATACATAAATCACATGCTTAATGAGATCTTCGCCTCTAATACACATAAACTAAAGGAAAATTCCAGATTGGAGGATTCTAGATATGCCCTATAAACACTTGCAAACTACTTCCTTTGTGTCAGAGAGTGAGGAAAATGGTTTTAGCTGTGGCCTGTGATACTGTTCTAGCCTCTGTCATATATATGCCCCCATAAATTTGCTGTAGGAAGCTGGCTTTTAACAAAAACTAAGTATCCAGGGCTAAGGTGATTTGTTTCCGGGGGTGTTTTGCCTTGCTTTGTGTACAACATTGGCAGTGTCAACTAGAATTCAGAAATCCTTCTTTGAGTATTTTTAAAATTTAATTTAAAGAAATTACCTTGTGGCTTTGCTGTCCTTTCATAGTCTTTTGTGCTGAGTTTATGATGACTGACCCTATGGCGAGAAATGTGACCAAGAATCTAATAACAGGCCCTTAGACATGTTCTGCCTCTTATTTTGTCTAAGCATCTCCTGCAGAGCCACCAACGGGGAAAAAAGCCTGTTTGCACGGAGACAGACACCTGGCTGAGGAACTGGACCTTGCAGTGTGTCTTGAAGACCTAAAGGTTTGTGCTGGTTGTTTGGACAGCTAAGAGAGAAGTGTTTCACTGCAGCACCTGTCTTTGAAACTGCTCTCCTGTTTCCAGTCTTCCAAATCTAAGCGTAAGGGCCAGGAGGAATCGTGACTCCGGTTTTCTGAAGTATCCCAGTGCACAACTTGCAGCATGTAAGGGATATTCCAGTTCTTATCCTAATACCTCTTGCTATAGGAGAAAGTAGAGTGATTCTTAAGCCAAAGTAATGTCACTTGTCACCTACACACGTGTGGCTTCTACCACGCTCCTCTCCCTCCCCCAGAGCTGCAGAGAAGAGCAGCAGGAAAGCCCCCTGCCTCGGGTGCTGGAGAAGGATGAGGTGATGCAGCACATTGCAGTTCTACAGTGAGTTAATACGAACTGATGACAGTGTAGTGTGCTCACACTGGTCAGGCTGAGCCTTAAATGGAGCATTAATAACGTGATTGGGTCCACTGTGTACATGGAAAATTGCCCACTCGTTGCGTGTCACCACAAACAGGCTGCAAACTAGCGAACGATGGGTCTTGAACTTGGAGCAACCATGTCCTTGGATACATCAGCCTAGGAAAAAATCTGTCTGCTCAAGAACCACGATGCCTATCGAGGCATTGCCCGGATGTACGCTGCCTGAGGCGCAGCATGGAAAAAAGCAGGATTCATCTCATCTGTGATACCAGTCCTTCGTCACTACGTGCTGTATGCACTCAGTCTTCAGCAGTTCAGGAGTCGTGCATGGGCATGAGGGGCAGTTCTTGGATTAATGTGTGATGGAGATAGCAGAGGTGATCTTATAATGCTTGTGCTTATAATTATTTCAGAGGAAGCCAGGATCTGCAGACGAATGTAGATTACAGCAAGGTGTGGCTGCACAGTGCTTATTCTTATAAGAATA